GCGCGGGCGGGGCTGCCGCCGCGCCCGCGGTCCGCCGCCGCCGCCGCGGGGATGGTCGCGAGGCCTGGCGGCGACGGCGGCAGGGTCGGCGAGGGGCGGAGGGAGGAGGAGCGAGAGGAGGGAAGGAGGGGGAGGGAGGGGGAGGGAAGGAGGGGGAGGGGGAGGGAGGGGGGGGGCGACTGAAGACTGTCAAGCGAGGGTGCCTCCCCAACAGGCAGATCAAGGAGCGGTGAGGAGACCACGTCGGCCGTGACTTGCTTTCCACCCGAGACGGGCTGGTGCGTAGGAGGGAGGGAGGGCGGCTTAGACGGGGCACAGAGCATGGGCCCCATGCTCCCCCTGGCTTGTAGGGAGGAGGAGGAGGAGGAGGAGGAAGAGGAAGAGGAAGAGGAGGAGGAGGAAGAGGAGGAGGAGGACAGGAGGAGGAGGAAGAGGAGGAGGAGGAGGAGGAGGAAGAGGAGGAGGAGGAGGAGAGTGGAAGAGAGAGGAAGAGAGAGGAGGGATGGAGGAGAGAGGAAGAGAGAGGAGGAGAGAGGAGGAGGGAGGAGAGAGGAGGGAGGAGTGGAGGAGGGAAGAGGGGGAGGAGGAGCTCAGAGAAGGGGAGGAGGGGGTGCTGGCCTACACCGTCCTGCCAGCCCCAGAGAAGCGGAGAAGTGTGTGGGTGTGTGGGTGTGTGGGTGTGTATGTGTACGTGTACGTGTGTGCATGGATGTGTGTACGTGTGTCTATGTATATGTATGTACGTGTGTGTGCATGTGTGTGCGTGTATGTCTTTATGCATGTATGTGTGAATGCGTGTGTCTTTGAATGCGCGTGTGTGTGTGTGTGTGTGCGAATGTGTGCGAATGTGTGTGTGTGGGAATTTGGGTGTGAATGAGGGTGTGAATGTGTGTGACTGTGAATGTGAATGTGTGCGAATGTATGTACGAGTGTGTGTGTGTGTGAATGTGTGCGAATGGGTGTGTGAATGTGTGAATGAACGTGTGTGTATGTGAGTGCGGGCGGGCGGGCGTGTATGCGTGTGTTGTGTATGTGTTGTGTGTTGTGTTGTGCTGTGCTGTGCTGTGGTGTGGTTTGTTGTGCTGTGTGTTGTGTTGTGTTGTGTGGTGTGGTGTGGTGTGGTGTGTTGTGTTGATTGTGTTGTGTTATGTTGTGTTGTGGGTTGTGGGTTGTGGGTTGTGGGTTGTGTTGTGGGTTGTGTTGTGTGGGTTGTGTGGGTGCGTGGGTGTGTGGGTGTGTGGGTGTGTGGGTGTGTGGGTGTGGGTGTGGATGTGGGTGTAGGTGTGGGTGTGGGTGGGGGGTGGGGGGGTGGGGGGGGGGAGGGGGGGGGCGGGGGGGTGGAAGGGTGGGGGGGGGGGATGAAGGAGGTGGGGGGGTAGGGGGGTGAGGAGGTGGGGGGGTGGAAGGGTGGAGGGGTGAGGGGGGGGGGGGCTTGTCGGCAGCTCTGGAGAGCCACCCACGAGGGAGTACGCAGGCATGTTACCGAAAGGATCTATGCTTCAATCGTCGCTGATTTCGGACAGGACGTCTGACACGCTGATGTCTTCCAGGGCAAGAACCACCACTTTGCGAGGTATAGGTTGGACAGGTCGGGCCCTCTCTGGGAGACCCAGTGCGGCCCTCGAGAGCCGCACAATGGTAAGGATCAGACGCGTTTCCCAGAATAGCTGCTGGGATGTAGCGCTTCTGCCGCCCCGGAGGTTCCGGGGCTTAGGCATCGGGGGAAGGAGAAACGGATGGTTTTCCTCCAATCTTGAGCCGCAGCGTTTACGGAACGATCGCTGCGGAAACCGCTTCCCAAGGGACGGGGTCGCTCCACCTGGAAGCCGGGATCCGCGGAAGACGGGCGAATAACGCACCAGCGCCCCCAATCGCTCCCTGCTATAAGCTCGCCTCTCTGTGTCAGTCCAATGCTGCTGCACGCGCAAGGGGGTACAGTGCCTCGGGAACTCAGGGGGTACAAGCCCACGGGAACCCAGGGGGTACCGCACCTCGCATTGTACTTGGTGTCATGGCGAAATGCTGCACCGTCTCCGTCCGTACAACGTGCAACAAGTATTCTACAGGATATGCAGCACAATGCTATGCTATGCCTCACGCACCGCACGGCACTGTATCATCCAGCTTCTCCGGACGTTCCCGGAGAAGCTGCCCCGCCAACGTGGCCGAAATTGCCGGGGCAAATGCCGGCACCTGCAATACTGAATCGGGCCATTGGAATCAACACCGGCGACCGTTTAGACGCCACGAGCGCTGGGGCGATGTAATAACCACCCGAATTTCCGCCCCGACCGGGTTAACATCACCACACTCGGCCAAAAGATGGGAAAACATAAGATTGGAATTGCTTCTGCTGCTCCTACGCGTGCCTGGCAAAAAGATGGAACAACATACGATTGGTATCGGATCTGCTGCTCCTACGCGTGCCTGGCCAAAAGATGGAACAACATAAGGTAAGATTGGCATCGGATCTGCTGCTCCTACGCGTGCCAAGTCTCTTGCATTGTACTCTTTCCTTCGCCCCCCACACACGGGGGGGGGGGAGGTGTGGGGGTATGGGGGTGTGGGGGGGGGGGAGGGGGAGCGGGGAGGGGAGTGGGGGGTGGGGGGAGGTGCGGGGGGGGGTGCAGGGGTGTGGGGGTGGGGGGGTCGGGGGGCGGGGGGGTGAAGGAGGTGGGGGGTGAGGGTGTGAGGGTGGGGGCGTGGGGGGGGGGTGGGGGGGTGGGGGTGGGGGGGTGGGGGGGGTGCGGGGGTGAAGGGGTGGGGGAGAGTGGGAGGTGGGGGGCGTTGGGGGGTGGGGGTGCGGGGGTGTGGGGGTGCGTGAGGGTTTGTGTGTGTGTGTGTGGGTGGTGTGTGTGGGTGTGTGTGGTGTGGGCGTGTGTGGGCGTGTGTGTGCGTGTGTGTGTGTGGGTGTGTGTGGGTGTGTGTGGGTGTGCGGGTGGCTTGGTGGGGTGTGTGTGTGTGTGTGTGGGTATGTGTGGGTGTCTATGGGTGTGTGTGGGGTGGTGCGTGTGTGTGTGTGTGTGTGTGTGTGTGTGTGTGGGGGGGGGGGTCGTGGGGGTGTGTGTGGGTGTGTGTGGGTGTGTGTGGGTGTCTGTGGGCTGGTTTGTGTTAATGTGTGTGTTTGTGTGTGTGTGTGTGTTTGTGTCTGTGTGTTTGTGTATTCGTGTGTTTGTGTGTTTGCGTTTGTGTGTGTGTGTTTATGTGTTTGTGTTGTTTTGTGGTTGTGTGTGTTAGTGTGTGTTTGCGTGGTCGTGTGTTCGTTTGTTCGTGTGTTCGTGGGTTTGTGTGTTTGTGTGGTTGTGTGTTTGCGTGTGTGTGTTTATGTGTTTGTGTTGTTGTGTGGTTGTGTGTTTGTGTGGGTGCGTGTGTGTGCGTTTGTGTGTTGTGTGTGTGTGTTTGTGGTTGTGTGTGTTTGTGTGTTCGTGTGTTCGTGTGTTTGTGTGTTTGTGTTTTTTTTTGTGTGTGTGTGTTTGCTGAGTTTGTGTGTGTTTGTGTGCTTGTGTGCTTGTGTGTGTGTGTGTCTCTGTGCCTGTGTGCTTGTGTGCCTCTGTGTTTGTGTGGTTGTGTGTTTTTGTGTGTTTGCGTGGTTGTGTGTATGTGTGTATTGTGTGTTGGGTGCTGTGGATTGTGTGGTGTGTGCTGTGTGTTGTGTGTTGTGTGTTGTGCGTTGTGTGTTGTGTGTTGTGGGATGTGGGATGTGTGATGTGTTGTGCGTGTGTTGTATGTTGCGTGTTGTGTGCTGTGTGTTTTGTGTTGTGTGTTGTGTGTTGTGTGTTGTGAATTGTGTGTGGTGTGTGGTTTGTGCTGTGTGTTGTGTGTGTGTGTGCGCGTGTGCGTGGGTGCGTGTGTGCGTGCGTGTGCGTGTGTGTGTGTGTGCGTGTGTGTGTGTGCGTGTGTGTGTGTGTTTTTGTGTGTGTGCGTGTGTGCTTATGTGCATGGGTGTGTGTGGGTGTATGGGTGTGTGGGTGTGTGTTGTGTGTGGTGTGTGGTGCGTTTGGTGTGTTGTGTGTGTGTTGTGTGTGTGTGCGTGCGTGCGTGTGTGTGTGTGTGTGTGTGAGCGCGTGTGTGCGTCCGTGCGTGTGTGTGTGTGTGTGTGCGTGTGTGTTTTTGTGTGTGGATGTGTGTGGGGGGGGGGGGTATGATTGTGGGTGTGTGGGTTTGTGGGTGTGGTGTGTTGGTGTGTGTGTGTGCGTGCGTGCGTGCGTGCGTTCGTGCGTGCGTGCGTGCGTGCCTGCGTGCGTGTGTGTGTGTGTCTGTCTGTCTGTCTGTCTGTCTGTCTGTCTGTCTGTCTGTCTGTCTGTTTGTCTGTTTGTCTGTCTGTCTGTCTGTCTGTCTGTCTGTCTGTCTGTCTGTCTGTACGTGTGTGAATGTGTGAATGTGCGTGTGTGTGTGTGTGCGTGCGTGCGTGCGTGTGTGTGTGTGTGTGTCTGCTTGGCGTGGCCCCTCCTGCTTCTTCCCACCCACGACTCGCGTCTGCTGCCGTTTGCGCTTCGCCGGGTCGTCACCGCCTGCCTCCGCGCCCTGCGCCTTGTAGGCCTCCCTGGTCTCGGCGCTCTCCCGCTCCTTTGTTTGCCGTGTCTCGTAGGCCCCTAGATCTCGGCGCTTTGGCTCTTCTCCTGGACCGCGCCTAACCGGTTCGCTGGGTCGAGTCTCTGGTTCGCTTGTGTTGCTCCCCCACCATCCGCCCAGTCTGCGGGTCTGCGTTCCCCCCCAGCTTCAGGTCAGTGCAGCTCAGTGCCGGCGCTGGTTCCCCCCCTCGGCGCCCCCCCTGCCGCAGTCGGCGACTCTGAGTGGGTCCGGCTTCCTCTCTTCCTGTCGCGCCGGGGCTCCTCCTCCTCCTCCTCCTCCTCCTCCTCCTCCTCCTCCTCCTCCTCCTCCTCCTCCTCCTCCGTGCATGGCGGCCTAAATTTGCATACAGCGTACCCCCTTGTTGCCCATCCGCCGGAGCAGTCACCCTCTGCCCAGCCGCCGACGCAGAAAGTGTGTGTCTGTGTGCG